TTCCAGCGCCTCCGCCGGTGTCGCCAGCACCTGGCTCGACTGGACCAGCAGCACTACCACTACCACAACCACTCCGGCTGCCCCTGCGAAGACCTCGACCACGACCAAGGCGTACACCACCTGGGCTGACTGGACCAGCTCTGCTACGACCACGACCACGACCAAGGCATCTGTCGCTGCCTCTAGCACCCACACCTGGGCTGACTGGACCTCCAGCGAGGCCCCAGTTTCCTATACTACGACCGTTGTAGGTGCCATCACAACCTACTGCCCATATGCTACCAAGTTCACGCACGCTGGCAAGACCTACGAAGTCACATCTGCCACAACTTTGACCATCACTGATTGCCCGTGCACCATTTCTGTCCCCGTCTATACCAAGACCTCCACCTCGTGTAGCAGGTAAAGATAGAACCTAAGCTGACTTGAAGATTCTCCAGGCTGATACTAGCAGTTCCGTCGCCGCCGTGTCCACCGGCACTTGGGCTGACTGGTCTTCCACCTCGGTCGCTGTTACCAGCTCCGTCTACACCCCCGTTGCGGCTGCGAGCACGTCCAGCGCCGCCTGGTCGTCCTATGCCCCATCCAGCGTCGCCCCAGCTGTCGCTACCTACACTGGCGCTGCCAACGCCCTCGTTGCCAACGTTGGCGCTGGTCTTGCCGGTGTTGGTGCTATTGCTGCCTTCCTCCTGTAAGCTGGAGACTTTGGGGCCATGACTTGGAATTGTCGATGGACCTTCAGAGCTGAACTTCTCGGTTGTGGAGGGCCATCTTCAGTTTTGCGGTCATGGCTTTGCACTTTGACTTCTTAGCGCTGAGACCCGGGCAAGGATCGGCGACTAGCTGGCTCGGCTGCAGTACGCACGACACGGCATGGACATGTAGCGGTCACGACAAGTTTGGGCAATTGTGTGTATACTAGCAGTCGGCGCCTTGGATATAGAGCATTTCGCTAGTCGTTGGAGTGGTGTGATGGACACCTTGTACAGTTAGAAGGTACAATGAGAAATCCCACCCCTCACCCTGGGTGCTGGTCATTTAATGAATGGAAGTTTTCTGGATAGGACTGATTTTTTTGACCGTTCCGAAACTTCTAGCTTCAGGCTCACGTGTTGGGTGACTCGTTTTATGGACATAGTGGTTCGTGAATTTCGAGAAGTAGAGTCGGAAGCAGAGTAGGATCTGCGGATCTGTTCCCAGAGAGCAGGGTGGCACCCCGTGCATACCTCAGGTATCATAGGTATGGATGCCGATTTCGCTTGGTGAGACGTTATAGGCTCTGGAGGAGTAGCATTTCCTAGATGGGCATCTCTCGGCCTTGTCTCGGGGAGAGCTGATTAATTGTGCCTGCGCCATTCACCCACTATCACTACCACAGCTGGCCACCGACTCTCTGCCATCCTCCAAGCAAACATGGCCCCAGCCTCGGTATCCATCGAAGACCTCTAACGCATCTCCCCTGCCTTCATCCTCCCCCACAAAGTCGGCGACGATCGAATGATGTCGTTTCCCCAAACCAAGTCCAACTCCGCTGGACCGACCCCCTTCCCCCGTACGAAGCGACCAAGATCCTCTCCCTGGAATGCTTTCCGAGCTTTGCTTGGTCTCTCCTTGCTGCAGGAGCTGGCTGCGGTTGTTGCAAATCTGTTAAAAGCGAACATCATCTGGACAGGTTCTTGATTCAGACTCGGAGAGAATACCACCGCCATCTGAGCATCGTTTGGTAATTCGATCAATTGTCCATTTCCATGCTTCGACCATAGATATACATAGAGGCACCCTCGTCGCGCTCTAGCTCGATCGTTTCCTAGCCTCGAGGCTACGTGCTGTCCGAACTACATAACGTCTATCTCTTTATCTGACCATACGACTTCTATACCCCAACACTGTCGCTCATCCACCTCCCGAAGCCTCGGGCACACTCTCCGTCCCTCACATCATGTCTCCGAACAACACAGTCCAGGATTCTGTGCAGAACGCGTCAATATCCGACCCGGAACGGTTCTGGGACCAGCATGCAAAAGAGCTGTACTGGCATAAACCTTACAGTGCCGTTCTGCGCCAACAGCCCAAGAAACTGAAGGATGGGACCACACATCCACACTGGTCATGGTTCCCAGATGGCGAAATCAGCACCACGTACAATTGCATAGACCGCCATGTCAAAGCCGGCAATGGCGACAAGATCGCCATGATCTGGGATAGTCCCGTGAGCGGGTCGAAAGAGCAGTACACATACAGCCAGATGTTGGACGAGGTGGAAGTTCTGGCCGGCGTCCTTAGAGAAGAAGGTGTTAAGAAGGGAGATGTTGTGCTGGTTTACATGCCCATGATACCACCTGCAATCTTTGGAATGCTCGCAGCCGTCCGCCTTGGTGCTATGCATGCAGTAGTCTTTGGAGGATTTGCCGCTGCTAGTCTGGCTCAGAGGATCGAAGCTGCAAAGCCCAAAGTCATCCTGACTGCCAGTTGTGCCATTGAAGGAGCAAAGGGGCCCCTGGAGTACAGGCCGTTCGTCGAAGACGCGATTGAGCAAAGCAGTTGGAAGCCGAGCAAAACCATCATCTGGGAGCGAGAAATCAGGAGGTGGGACCCTGTGAGGAAAGATGCAGGGCAGAGGAACTGGCAGCGTCTCGTCAAAAGCGCTCGGAACAGAGGTATCAGGGCCGAGGCCGTTCCAGTCAAAAGCACAGACGGCCTGTACATCATCTATACCAGCGGCACAACTGGTCTGCCTAAGGGCGTCCTCCGCGAAGCAGGCGGTCATGCCGTGGGTCTCAATTTCAGCATCAAATACCTCTTCGACGTCAAGGGACCTGGCGACATCATCTTCACCGGCAGCGATATCGGATGGGTGGTCGGACATTCCTATATCGTCTACGCGCCTCTCCTGGCAGGAGCAACCACCATCCTCTACGAAGGGAAACCCATTGGCACACCTGACGCCGGAGCATTTTGGCGGATGGTCGACGAACACAAGGTCACAACGCTGTTCACCGCCCCGACCGCGCTCAGAGCCATCCGAAAAGAAGATCCCGAAGACAAACTCTTCAAGCAGTACGGCGAGACGGGTCGGTTAAGGCATTGGCGGGCACTGTTCCTTGCCGGTGAGAGATCAGAACCGGCCATTATCACGCATTATCAACAGTTGCTGAGCAAATACGCCGCTCCGGATGCGAGAGTGATTGACCATTGGTGGTCCAGCGAGAGTGGTAGTCCCATGACCGGCCTCGCCTTACGCCCTTCTATTGGGCACGATCACTACAGTCGCGAGGAGCACAAGGCACTGGCCATCAAGCCTGGCAGTGCAGGCAAACCGATGCCTGGATTCGATGTGCGCATCGTCGACGATGAGGGAAACGAAGTCGAACAAGGCAAGATGGGAAATATTGTGCTCGCCATGCCATTGGCTCCCACCGGATTTACTACGCTATTCAATGACGATGACAGGTTCTACAAGGGCTATTTGAGACGATTTAATGGCAAGTGGTTGGATACCGGAGACGCCGGAATGATCGATCAGGATGGGTATGTGCATGTCATGTCGAGAAGCGACGATATCATCAACGTTGCCGCACATCGCTTCAGCACTGGTATGACCCCGAGCCCTATCATCTCCACAGACTCTTGCACGCTGACAATTTCCGTGAACAGGCGCTATCGAACAGGCCATCACATCCCACCCCTCAGTCGCCGAAGCTTGCGTGGTGGGCGTTCCCGATCCCATGAAGGGCCACTTACCGTTCGCTTTTGTCATCCCTGCCGCCGCCACCGATTCCGATCTTCCCGCCACGCCCTCCAAGGAGTTCTTCACCGGTATCAACAATCTCGTACGAAATCAAATCGGCGCCATCGCCTCGTTGGGCGGTATCATCCAGGGTAAAGGGATGATTCCCAAAACGAGGAGCGGAAAGACTTTACGGCGTGTCTTGAGGGAATTGGTGGAGAATGCCGCCGAGGGACAATACGATAAGGAGGTCAATATTCCTGCGACGGTGGAGGACAAGGAGGTTGTCGAGGTGGCTAGGCAAAAGGTGAAAGAATGGTTTGGGGAGAGGAAGAAACAACAGGGTACGACCAAGGCGAAATTATAGGTTCAGGAAATGGCTTGTTTCTGGGGAGCGAGTGCACATATTACCCTTATTACCCTTTTCTGGTTGTCTTTTTTTAAATATATCCACCTCGTTCTTGGAGGCGTAGCCTTTGCAGGAAATGGAATTCCCTGCCTGTAAGTTTTCTCCTATATCGACCAGTCTTGTTTGGCCCTCTACGCATGCATCGTGCTGTAGCCTTACATCGTGAGAAGACAAGAAAGACATGAGCAAGACATAACTCAATACGTTGATATATTTCCTGCGATCTAGTCTGGGCGAGAAGGCACAACGATGGGGTGGTAGAGGCATTTTAAGTGCGTTGTGGGTGTGGTATGGAGCATAGGGGGCCCAACAGCCTATCAAAGCCCGCGAAGGAAGATTTCAATATATAGGAAACAGTGTCAAAACTATGATTAAAATGCCCTGGTGGCACAATTGGTCAGCGCGGTAGGTTTTCTGTCTCGCAGCATATTTGAATGTGAATTCTAATATTGTTCAGTGAGACTTTTACGGCAGCTATGTAAGGCAGCAATGACAATCTCAAGGTTGAGAGTTCGAGTATGTGACACCGTCATTCTTGGACTACCACTGGTATTAATATTATCTGCAGGCCTCTCCCAGGGCGTTACTATTCTTTTTATGGCGTTGTTTTTTTGGTACCTATTTCGCAATCACGAAGTACGACTTACAGGTTTTAATACTCTTGTAAAACTATCCGAATGCCGCCTTTTGTGCGGCTTGTGTCTCCATCTCTGAGCCAGTCTCTTGGCTTACTTTTGTCAGGCGCAAATTGTACTAAATGGAGAAGACCCTTTCATGCCTTTTGTGCTTTTGAATCGCACTGCGATATATTCCGATTCTGAGAGATGACTTGAAGGATGATGCTACTTGGCCATCCCAAGAACAATGGCCCTCGACAGGCTAATTACAGGCAACAGGGAGTGGAAAACTGCACCGGAATATTCGCAGTCTTGCGTTCTTTCGGCCGACCGATTCTTGCAGGTCACAGATCTGCTGTTGGAAAACCCCAATCTGAATTCGACTCATCTTTTCCGGGCCGACATCTTGTACGACAGCGTGCACAGGCTAAAGACGGTCTCGGAGAAGGAGAGCTTCTATCTTGAGGCCGCCGGAGTGCTTCGCAGTGATGACAAGGCCGTGACTCGAGATGAGCCTGAGCCCGTATCCTCAGCACCCGTGTTTCAAAGTGCCATTTTGCAGAGAAAGATCTTGCGAAAACTCATTCCCCGGAAGCCTCAGCTTGATCGTTCGCTTGACCAGTGGTGCTATATCTACAAACTCATCGAAGGGACAGACGACGGTTCGGGATGCATTGTCGTTTACGAACCGCAAGTAGACACCGAGGCTGATATGCCATGGTATCATCCGCCTGTCAAGTCTGTGGCATATCTTCGCAAAGAAAAGGGAACCGAGACGACGCTTTCGGTTCATTTTCTCCCCTTCTCAACGTCTCCTGACCCATTGCCATCCCGAACGCAGCGAACGTTCGTTTCACTGCTCCAGACTTTCCTCAGGCTTGCAAAGAACCCTGCAGGAGAAAAGATGGTCGTTGAAGACAGCCGGAGGATGATGGACGGAAAGGCATTGACCACCCTGTCCCTTGCGCCTTCGGCCCTGAAAGACACGATACTGCCCCAACACACAGTCCAAGACACCTACACCCGCCTGAAAGAGCGACACGCCCACGACCTCATATCACGCTGGGCAGAGAAGACCGAACCGTCCAAACACGTGTTCGAAGACCTTGCCATCGCCGCCTTCGTCATCGAGCTCTGGAACCAAATGTATCCAAAGGCAGACGCCTTTCCGGGCTTCGTTGATATTGCATGCGGAAACGGTGTTCTGACGTACGTGCTCGTCAAGGAGGGATACCAGGGACGTGGTTTTGATGTCCGCAGACGGACTACATGGGACGTTCTCGAGATGGACGATTATCTAGATGAGATGGTCTGCATCCCACAGCCGTTCCTGGATCATGTTGGCGCCGAGGAGATCAACGGGCTCCAAGAAGCAGGCACAAGGATCCATAACGGAATCTTCAAACCGGGCACCTTTATCATCTCCAACCACGCCGACGAACTCACGCCCTGGACACCCCTTCTCGCCACCCTCTCGTCTCCGGACTCACCTCTGCCCTTCCTGGCCATTCCGTGCTGCTCGCACGCCCTCAGCGGCGCCAAACACCGCTATTCACCAAAAGATGCCAGTGTCGCATCGCTGCCATCCGACCCTACTACGGACCTAGGCAGCCCCAATGCCGAGCACCAGCCTGCCAGCGGCGACTTGAGGGCTCTCCGCGCCACCAAGTCCAGAGCAGCGAACCACGCAGATGACACGTCGATGTACGCCTGTTTGACGAAGAAAGTCATATCGCTGGCGCTGGAGGTCGGCAACGACGTCGAGTTGACACTCATGCGCATTCCGAGTACGCGGAACATCGGCGTTGTGGGGAACAGGCGGCAGACTTGGACTCCTCCTGCTGCCGCCAATAGTGGTGGTGGTACTATTCCTCCTGCGGCGGCAATCCATCCCGCGCCAGACGAAAGGACGCAGCGACACAGTTGGGACCATGCTGTCCTTAGCGGCGGTACAGAGAAGATCAAGAAGCAGCAGGAGGCGGCGCACGAAAACCCCACAACCGCGGGCCCTAGGGGCGACGGCGATGAAACCCAAGTGGAAGCCGACGGGAGTCCCGTGCAAACGGCCATCCGGGCCCTGTTGGACCGCGAGTGCGCCATGGCAGGAGGCGTCGCTGAGGCTGCGAGATGCTGGGTCGCACGGGCGCACAAACACCAGGTCGGACGCGGCAGGGGGAAGGTCAACCTCGGAGCACGGCCTCTTGCGGGAGGTTGATTGAGCATATGTAGGGAATGTGTATGTCCCGTCAGGCTGTGGACATCATCTAGACACAGTAGGTACGAAACATACGGCAAACGAACAATCAATCCATATTCACACGTCAGAATCAGCTGAATCCAAACATAGTTGTTGTGCGAGGATATTTGGGGACCGCCTCTGTTGCTCTGCCTAAAGACTGCCACTCCTCGACAAACTCCTCGAAGCGACATGGCTGTCATCGCCGTCCACGTCCTCTTCCTCCTCCTCCTCAACACGGGGCAAAGCGACATTAAACAGTCCTTCGGCCCATTCAGCAAATGTATCGAGATCCCACACTGCATTCTCTGGACTCTTTCCCTTGCGGGAGATGAGCGTTGCCCCTCCCATCGCCGCCGCACCACCGTTGACCTTCCCGTTCCGCGTGCCAGCTTTGCCGGCCGATTGGAACGTAATATAGGCGTCGAAGAACGTTTCGTAAATCTGCACGACCTGGTCCTCCACCGCGGCGACCAGCGTCTCTCTCGTTCGATGATCGTCCAGATATTGCTCCAACTTGGCTCTCAAAATGGGAATCTCTTTCTCGATCCTCGTCCGGGTCTTCTCCACCGCTTCCGCCAACATGCTTTCCCGGTTGCCCCTGTTATTAGACCCCGTTTTCTCCAAGTCCTTGGGAAGGTCTTTGCACATATCTGCGGCGAAACCTGCTGTGAACTCATTGATCGCCGTCCTCAACTGGCCATCGAGTTCTACTTTTGCATCAAGCATGTTTTCCACCACCCGAGGCAGCAGCCCGCCGGAGCTAAACAGTTTTATCCAACTCGCCGGGTTGAAAAGGCCGCCTCGTTCGCGGAGTTCCCAAAACGTGGATGCCACGCCCGAAAAGTCAAAGCTCACGTCCGGGGTGACGTATTCGATGTCGAACGCCACTATCTGCGATTTCAAAAGTAACAGGTGTTTGAGGAGAAAAAGTTGTCCGTCGACCGGTGAGAATTTGGTGGATATCTGTTGGGATGCGGTCACGAGGGATAGGGTGGTCTGGTGCACGATTTGGTGCGCCAGGTCGTCAAACACCGACGAGTTTACCAGGCGGTAGATGCGGGACAACAGGCGCAGGGATCTCGAAAGGGTGGGATAGCAGTGCTTCAGGGCAGACCGACGCGACGAGGCGAGTGTCCAGCTGAAGGAGCCCTCTTCGCCCGAGTCGTCGTCCAGGTCGTCGTTGGTGGGGGTTTTGAGCAGGGGTGTCAGAGCGTCGCGGGAGGAGCGGCGTCCCGACAGCGGTGCGGTGGCTGATATGGGCGGAGCAGAGGTGAGTCGCGGATAGTCCAGGTCTTCGGGTTTGGGTTTGAACATTTCGATTTCTTCGCGGAGGATGGCCAGCGCGCGGAAAACAAGGCGGGTTTGTGCATCTTCCAGCGCCGGTTGGATGAGCGCAGAGAAATCGAGTTGATTCAGGTCTGCGGGGCCGTCTTCTTCCTCGTCGTGAAGGTAGCGCGTCTGGAGCAATGTGACTAGCGAGCAGAGCTTAGAGAGCTTGTTCTCATGAATGATCCGCGGACGGAGATGATCGTATAGTGGTTCGCAAATCGACTCGAGGAAATCGTAGAGCCCACGATAGCCGTGGAACCACTCTGACCACAGCTCGAACTCATCGAGACAGATGCCCCGGATATAGCCGATACTGGCCCTTGCAAACTGTACCAGGTCCTTAGAACTAGGCAATTGAGCCGTCTCCGTCAGCCGTTTTTGCACAATGGGCAGAATCAATCTGCCTCGACAAGCAGCGAAGCTGGAGTGCAGCTCGTTCATCAGGCTCTGGTATTCCCCTTCTGTGCCTGGCTCGGCGTCCGCTGGCGGATTCGCTCGCTTCTGGATCTCCAGGCCGAGTTCCTTCATCTCCGCCGCGCCCACGCGGAATTTCGCATATAGGAGTGCGGACATGGTTGTGTCGTTGAGCTGCTTCGCTGCAATGCGGCCGGCAACTTCGGTGGTAGTCTCCCGCACCGCCGCCATGAATGTATTCCGCACCAGCGTCAATGCTCGGGTGAGTAGCAGCCTGTAGCGTGACCTGTAGGGTTCCGCTTCCTTATGGGATGGGTGTGTCTGCATGTAATCTATGCATTCATCCAGAGTGACCAACATGTCGGAAAAGTCCTTACTACCGACAAAATTACCTGCCTGCGGCGCATTGAGGCGACGGGTGATTCGTTCGAGCGGCTCATAGTAACGCAGATTCTCAGCGATTCCTTGTGCGACGACCTCGCTCTTGCGCTGTTCTTCTAGAATGGAAACTGACTGGGCCTGGAAGGACTTTGTTTGGGCGCTGACCGACTTGAAGGATGCGGAGATGGAGGAAAGTTCGTCGAGTGTGGCGGCGGTGGATGCGAGGAGGGTATCGAGGTGAGAGCGGGCGGCGTCGAGTTGGTCAAGATACTGCCTGTCCTGATGTTCAGTGAGGATAACTTAGTCTAGCAATAATCCCGCAGCGCACTGGTATTCATCGAGACCGGCCTCCAACAGGACATCATCTATGTCTCCGGATAGCTTGAACACATCGAGTTCTGTTTCTGCTCTTTCGAGTTGTGCTAGAGTGGCATCTTGCTCGCTGTCCGGGTTTTCTCTTGCGTCCGAGGCCATGGCCATAAACTAGCCTGTAACGAAGTCCTGGCTCCTTAGGTGTGTCTCATAAGACTCGCCATGAAGGCATAATGCCGGCCTTCTCATGGCATGTGGATCATTGAATACAAAGTGAACAGCCCTTCAGGTGAGGGTGGAGAATACAGCACAAGGCTGAACCGGATGCACCAATATTATTGTTTGGAGTCTGACGAGGCTGTCGCTGCGTACAATGACGCAAACGATTTCCGAATACGTGCCTGCGGTCCGTAAATATCACCAGTGGGTTGACTCTTTCCTTATTATCCATGTTTACGACAAAACGACTGCCTATTCGAATATGTGAGCCGAGCCCTACCGCCATCCCACCATGTCTTCAAGGAGTTTGCCCGCTTCCGCTGTCCGCACCTTGACTCGTTCGCGACGAGTGCCTCTCTCACAATTCAGATCTCGGGTGTCGTTCTCGAAGGCAAGACGCATTTCCCACAAGGCCTCAGACTATGCTGCTACTCACCAGGCGTGGAAGAGACCATCCGCCGTCATAATTGCTGCAGCAGCCACCGTTGCTCTAGTCTACACAACCACCCAGTTTCGCGCCGTCCAAGCAGAAGCTCCTCCCTCAGATGCCCATGAGATCGTAATTGAAAAGTCTAAGAAAAGAAAGGGTGCTTCAAAAGAAGAGAACAGGGATCTCATCAGCTCTCAGCATCTTCAAGTCAAGAAGAGCTGGGAGAATCCTGGGGTATATGCATGGGGATCCAATACCGGCCGAGTTGTGGCCACAGAGTCAGATGAGGCATATATCAAGACGCCGCGACGATTGAGCTGGTTTGATGATATCCTGCTCCGAGATCTTAAGATCGATAGGAACTTTGGTGCAGCAGTCCTGGAGAATGGAGACTTGGTGCAATGGGGGAATGCATATTCAGCAGACGTCAAGCAGCCGACGGCCACTCTGACGGGCAAGAATTTGACGTCCATTGCAATATCGAAAGATCGCATTATCGGTCTGGGCAAAAATGGAACCGTATATTCGATCCCCGTCTCCAAGGCGGATCAGGAAAGCGGGCACAAACAGAGCGATAGTTCTTGGATTCCTTTTTGGAATTCGAAGTCGTCAATCAGCTACAGAAAGCTTGAACCTCGGAATTTGGGAGTGGGGGAACGAGTCATCGCCATCAGCGGTGGCCTTGAACACGTCCTCCTACTCACAAACTCGGGACGGGTCTTTTCTGCCGCCTCAGGAACCGAGGATTTCCCCAGTCGTGGACAACTGGGCGTTCCGGGAGTGACATGGCTCACTCGTCCTGAAGGCCGATATGACATGTGCCACGAACTAACGACTCTGAAGGGCTTCGAGATAACTAAGCTTGCCTCTGGAGACTACCACTCTCTTGTGCTCGACAAAGAGGGCCGTGTCTTTGCTTTCGGCGACAATTCCTCGGGCCAACTTGGCTTCGACTTCAACCCGGAAGCCCCCTTCGTCGACACGCCTTCTCTCCTGCCTACCACTCGTCTCTATCAAGGCACCAATCAATCCTCCAAAGTCACGTCCATTGCCGCTGGCGGCTCAAACAGTTTCTTTACAGTCGACGCGACCCGCATCGCTGGCCAGGATGAAGATCCCAACTCAATCCCAACCTTGGGCAAAGTCACGGCCGATACATGGGCTTGCGGACTGGGCATTAGGGGGACTCTAGGAAACGGAAAATGGACACATATCCAAGGCACCCCTACGCGTATTCCGTCCTTGTCTGGCCTCTTCGAGTACGACGAAAAGACCCAAAAAGTGGTGCCGATTCGAATGTCCCAGATCTCGGTCGGTAGCACTCACGCCTCCGCCGTGCTCAAAAATGTGACCTATCTGGATGCCTCGGAAAGGTCCTCGGAAGACGACACCAACTGGGGGTCTGATGTTCTCTGGTGGGGAGGAAACGAATTCTACCAGCTGGGCACGGGCAAGAGGAACAACGTGCCAATTCCCATGTACATACGGCCATTGGATGTGGCTAGTGAAGTTGAGATGGGGAGAAAGGAGGAGCATAGGTTGCATTTGACACCAATGCACGATGTACGGTTGAAGGGGAGTGGGAGGAAAGTAAGAATGGAGCAGCGCGTGGTGTGTGGGAGGAACGTTACGGCTGTGTATTCGGCTGTTTGAGTTGGATACGCTTGACGATATATTTGAATCGGATTGGGACCCTTTCAAAACGTTGTTGATGCGATACTATCACGAGATGCTTCACAAGCGTTGTAAGTCTCATCTGCCGATCAAGTCGACATCAATATCTCGAGTTTGGTCGTATGTATGTTACCTTTCATGGCAATGTCTTAAATAGCCAACCAGCTCCAATGGACTGACTTTGAAACGATCGATCTTGTATACTTCTGTTTCTTCGAGATACAGAATTGGAGCCCGGGACCGCACAGGACTGTGGGTTTGAGGGGCTTTCAACATAGAAATTTGATGGGGGAAAGAATAAAATGGCCGGTTGAGGTTGTCTTCATCCCACCGAACCTCCTACTGCACATGGAACGGTTTCGGGCAATGTAGTAGGTCAACGACGAATAACTACCTGGTCAGACGAGGACGGTAGGCAGTAATTCCTCCTGCCCATTCAGTCGGTTTGAAGGACTTGAGGTCAATGTCATTCATTTCAGCGATTAGCCACGCCTCTGTTTTCATATGCAACCGCCAGGGCAAGCATATGCCAATGCCAACCTCGCGGGGACAATAGCGTCTGTAGCTCCTGTTGAAGCAATGTCCTCAATTCAATCGTGCTCTTCGTCTCATCTAATGTGCAATGCATATTCGCTCATCTTCACATGAAAAACCGCCCAGTCGAAACGCCGAACGCCTTACTGTCGAATCCGAAACTCAGTGCAGCGTTGCCGTCTGCGCTGCTCTAATGAACCATGACTTCTGGCTTGGTCTCTGTTCCTTTCTTCTCGCCGTCCAAGTCTGCGGAAGCGGTGTTTTGAGCAGCAGTGGGCTTATCATCGCCCTCTGCCATCTCTGTGTCCTCGCCTTCTGCGCCCTCCTCATCGTCTTCCTCGTCTTCGCTCTCACTGCTCTCCTCCTCAAGATCCTCACTTTCAGCATCGCTGGCCTCCTCATCCTCGTCTTTGACTTTAGCGGTGTCTGTCATTTCTTGATCTCCATTTGTCGAGTCCTCTCGCGCCATCTTGGCTTCGGTCTCTTCCAATTCTCTCTCTAGAGCTGCCTGCATCTCCGCTTCTTCTGCGCCATACGCTGTTCCATCGTCGTCGAGCGTGTCGGCTTCAGGTTGGTCAGGAGGATATTCGGCGGGAGCCGATTCTTCGGAATCCCTATCGGCAGATTTGCATCAGCCACAAATCCGCCACCATTAAACAGATATGCTACTTACCATTTGATGGCAAACCTGGTAACTCTAGGTTTCTCTGCCAGCACGTTGCGCCGAATCTTTTCAATGACCGGCTTGGCAGGCGGATCGGCACTCAATGTCTCGTCATCGTACTCATTATACACATAGTAACCAACGCGCACGAACTCTCGTCCATCATAGGAGCAGGTGAGGAGGATCACCGTCACACCGAGAATTTCGGAGGGCGGCAACCGAGATAGGTTGGGAGGATCGGCTTCGAAGATGAATTTGTTGACACCGATAGGAATGGGGCCTACGAGGAGAGAGTCGAGCTCTTGGTCGTGCTCCGCAGACGTGGCGGAGCCCACGTAGGTAAGTTTCCATTCTAGATCTAGACGCTCGTCAGCCGATCTGCAGTAAAGATGATAAGATTCCCACCATATGTTCACCTTCGCGCAGTTGCTCAAGACATTCAAACGTGATTTCAAACTCATAGGGCGCTGTGAATGGCGCAGGGTTGTTCAGGACCTTGACGCCTAACAGAGAGACCACCGACATGGCTACAACGGGTGCCACTAAAGTAGTGAATTGCGCACGTCGTCGCCCTCGCGACAGAGGGAGATTAAATGATCTTCTGGAAGAGTGATGGGTATCGCGACTGTTGGATAGGACTGTGGACGAGTGTTTGTAGGAAAATCGCGAGAGGGCGACGTTGTCGCGTGAAAAGTCGCGTCTTTGCCTTTCCATTCCACAGATCGTCAGCAATCGATATTGAGGCAAGTTAGCCGAAGAATCTTGATTATAGAGGTAAGTTAGCCGAGGCTTCCTTTGATCGTGGAGTGTTTTCAAATGACGACTTCCAACGGCAGTGCATGCGCCAGTCACAGTCACTGCCATTGCTTGAACTGAACAGAACTCAACTTCATCAAAGACAATATCCTCTAATTTCGTGACAATCCCTCCACAGTTATTTCTGGCGGCAACGACCATGACGCTCAATTCCAAGACAGTCTCTTAGTTGCTGTTGCGGCGAAAGGTCAGTCTGTCTGTTCTTCGCGTGTCCCAGCCCACATAGACGAACACTAACACTGACAGCACCCAGAAACTTTCCATCTCTGCTCACTCCCTTCTACCGGTCACAGAGAATAGGCAGGTCGGTATGGCGAATCAAGGACCAAGTTCGGAGCTGCCGTCGCCATCTTCGGGGTCGGCGGCGCAGTCATCTTACTTCAACGGCACTACGGCTGCTCTCGATCCTCCGAGCGCCAGTGCGGCACAGTCGTCGCATCCATTTCCTTCCTTAGAGCAGAATCCTGTCAATGATCAACATGATCAGATACTATCTCCGACTCAATCAAATCTTCATCCTCTTCCAACAAAACCAGTCAGCCAGCTTTCTTCCCAAGCCGCCACCCCAGCCTTGACTCAGTCTTCTACGCCCGCTCCTGCGCAATCCAAACCCCGCATAGTGGGTGGATTTGAAGTTGATGATGATCCTGAAGATGAGGAAGGGACACAAGACGGAAAGGATGAGGTTGATGTCTACGATCCATCCGTGGGGCTAGACTTCGATGTCTCAACACCTGCTCCTACCCTTGCAAATCAAAACTCCAGTTCCCTTAATAGAGCTTCCCAGTCACCAGAACAAGAAAATGGAATCACTCCTGTTCCTGTCCAGGCCACTGGTAGTCCTGTTGACGCTGACCTTTCTTCTTCCACTACTCTTCCTTCTGGTGCCAGCGCTGATGTGCGTGCTGCCACTGCCACACCTTCTCACACTGCTCCTGATCTTCCGACTCAGATTTCTCCACCTCGCTCGCTTGTGAATGCCTCTGTTACTCCAGGCTTACCCAAGTCTCGACTAGCTCATGATGTGGTTGGTATTCTGGAAGATCGCATCAAGGATGACCCCCGTGGTGACATTGATGCATATCTTGAACTAATCGACGAACTGAAGAGTCGAAACAAGCAAGAAGATGTCCGTCGGGTGTACGAGCAATATCTCAAAGTCTTTCCTCTAGCCGTACGTGCTTGTCCTCTGTCGTATCTGTTACAGCGAACTAATAGATCACAGGCCGAACAGTGGTGTGCGTACGTGAAATGGGAAGAGGAGCACGATAGAATGCGGGCGATGGAAACCCTCTTCAATCGGTCTTTGCTGGATGTGCTTGATGTGCAACTCTGGTCTCTGTACATCAATTATATCCGCCGGCGGAACAGCATGCAAACCGGCGATATTACTCGCTCGTACACCATCATCAACGATTCTTTCACCTTCGCTCTCAAAACAATCGGAATGGACAAGGACTCGGGCCAATTATGGCAAGATTACATTAACTTCCTCAAGACCGGTCCCGGAATTGTTGGAGGCAGTGGTTGGCAAGATGGGGCAAAAGTCGACGCCTTGCGGGACGCATACCAGAAAGCAATTGCTGTTCCTACTGCAGCAACCATGCCGCTGTGGAAAGAATACGATACGTTCGAGACAGGCTTGAACAAGATTAACGTGCGTTAAAGACTGCAGCATATGGATTAGGATATTGTGCTGACGGCTTTCCAGGGTCGGAAATACCTTCAAGAGAAGTCCCCCGTATACATGACTGCCAGAACGGCATATACCCAGCTGCAGAACTTGACGAAAGGTCTAAACCGGACCTCTAGACCGCAACTGCCACCGGCACCTGGTTTCGAGGGTCATGCCGAGTATATGCATCAAGTCGCTCTGTGGAAGCAGTGGATTGAATGGGAGAAAGAGGATAACCTTGTTCTCAAAGATGAAGACCCTGCTTTGTACAAGAATCGGATCTTGTTTACGTACAAACAGGCTCTCATGGCCTTGGAATTCTGGCCGGAGATGTGGTATGATGCGGTTGAATTCTGTTTCAGCAACGGCCTGGATACGGATGGCACCAAGCTTCTCAACCAAGGCATCGCAGCTAATCCTGAGTCGCCCCTGCTGGCCTTCAAACTGGCAGACCGCATCGAGGCGTCGACCCAGAACGACGAAAGTGCGGATCCTGGTGCCAAAGAACGCATGAAGAAAATTCGGGAGCCGTATGACAAACTTCTGGACGCACTCTATGACCTAATCAAGAAAGTCTCTATCCGCGAGAAACAAGACATTCAGAAGGTCGAACTCACCGCTGCTGGCAACGGAGAAGATGGCGGGGGGGAAGACGACATCAACGCCTCGAATGTAGCGGCGAAGAAAGCTGTCATCGACAGCCAGATCGAGACGATCAAGAAAAGCGCTCAAGCACAGACGGATGTCCTCAGTCGAATGGTGTCGCATGTTTGGATTGCGCTCATGCGAGCAACCCGACGAGTGCAGGGGAAAGGACTACCTACGGAACGAGGTCCAAGCGGCTTCCGTGCGGTCTTTGGCGAGGCGCGGAAGCGAGGCAAGCTTACAAGCGACTTTTACGTCGAATCCGCGCGGATTGAGTGGCAATGCTATCGGGATCCAACCGGTACGAAAATCCTGGACCGCGGAATGAAGCTGTTCCCCGAAGACGACTATCTCCCGCTCCAGTACGTCAAGCATCTCTTTGACATCAACGATGTTACAAACGCTCGGGCGGTTTTCGAAACCACGGTCAAGAGACTCCTCGCGCACGATGACGCCGAACATACAGCAAAGGCCAAACCGTTGTTTGCATTTCTGCACGATTACGAATCCAAGTACGGTGAACTGGCTCAGGTCCAGTCTCTAGAAGAGCGGATGAAGAAGCATTTCCCTGACGATCCTATTCTCAAACTCTTCTCCAGCCGATATAGCACACCCACCTTTGACACCATGAACGTGTATCCCGTCATCTCGCCACACCAAATCAAACCTCTGCAAAACACAGTCATACCCTCTATAGAGGTACCAGAAGTCGTCAACTCACCCATCCAGAAGGTGATTGATGCGATTACAACCCACTCACCGAAGCGACCGTTTCCAGATGATTTCGAAGATGCCCAGCCCCGTAAACTGGCGCGTGGCGAGTCGCCCTTGAAGGGTGCAGCGGGCCGCCGCATGGGTCAGCAGCAGCAGCAGCAGCAGCAGCAGCAGCGCCAGGCCATGCCAGCCCCTGGGATACCGCAGTTCCAGGCTCCGCCACCCTTGCCCCCAATGGTTGCTTACCTTCTGAGCATCCTACCCAACGCGTCGACCTATGTTGACACCAGGTTTGACGCGGTGAAAATCATGGAGCTCATTCGAGATGTTCGCCTCCCTCCACCGGCAGCGATACCAGGCCAGCACAGTCAGACTCCGGCCCCAGCACCTCAGGCAGGCTGGCCACCGTACCCACCGCATCCACCAGTGCCGATACCGCCACAAGGCTTCGCGCCGCCGGCCAGCGTTACACAAGGCCCATATGGAGGGGGTAAGTGGCTGTTTTGACACCTCAGCTCACGGAGTCACGTCACTGACATGGATACCAGCTCCGTTTCGATACGCTTAGACACGGCCAGCGCATCGAAGGGCGACGAATAGGTTGGGTTGGGCTGGGAGGCAGAGCACGATGTAAAACCATTACCTGATTATGAGCATTTTAGCAAGTTGGGAGTCCGGATCAGGCGAGATGGCAAGTAATGGCAAGGCTATCACAGAGTTCTCAGGAAGGCTACATTGGGATCTTGCAGGATGGAAAAGTTGGCCGCTCCAGCCAGGATTGAGATTTGCGAGAAACAAACAACGTGTTGATGGCTTTCTGCATGCTGTATGGTCTTGCGGCTGGTGTCTGCGTCATCTCGCTCGCCTCTGTGTCGTTGTAGGGCGAGACCCGTTCAGCGGGTTCGCGGGGTACTTTTGTCTGCTGATCCCTGTTCACCCCATCGACTCCATTGGCACTGGGCATTTGGAGCTATAGCAGCTAGGGTGGATGTAGTATGGTCGACATACTCCTAGCATTGAAGTTGACCAACTGTTCAGGCGCCCGCTGGACCTAGTGAGCCTTCAGTCAACCTCACACCGAGCTCAACACGAGGCTGGCTCTGAGAGAAGACTGAATGAAACCTGACTTGGGCCTCAATACTCGTCTCTCTACCTTCACACCTTGTGATATGGCGGCCTTGGCCGGTGACAAGTGACAGGCGTCGCGGCATGTGATTGAGCCTCATCGACAGGCCATTGCTACAAATATCTTCCTCCTCGTCGCCGTCTGCCACTTTGCTTCTCTGTCTCTCTATCCTCCCCGCCTTGGTTCATTCTCTTCTTCCTTTTCTTCCTTCTCCTCGCTCATCATCATTGTCCGTCATCGATTCCATCGTCATTGCCTTGACCGCGTCGGGCAAACACCAACTTCTCCAGGGTTGTTTCTCACGAGGCAGCCTCACTGTATCTCACCAAACCATTAACAACATCTTCCACTCAGTTGAGTTCAACCAACTTGTCGGTAATCCAGGGTGAGTGATTGCTGACGATGCTTGCGTCGCTCGCACTTCCCTGCAACAATCTGGCCTCATTCTCAATCCACCATGCTCTTTCAGACATGAGTTGCGCCTCCCTCACTTCTCCCTTCTCTCTTCTCTGCCTCACCTACCAAACAAACCAACAAACCAACAAACAACACAATCCAAACTCTTTCTGCACGCCATCACAAACCTCTGTCCCATATATTGCTGGCTCATCTCGTCTCATCATCTTGTCTGCAGACCCCCCAACACTTAGCTCATCATCCTCACTTTGCCACATCTCTCGTTGTCGTCAGCCACACCTATTTTTCGGTCACATTCGAGACTTGTTCCCCCCTCTGCGAGCTCTCACACTGACTCCTTGACCAACAGTCTCCAGTTCCTCGAGACAACATGTCTGGAGCAGCGCGTAAGCGAGGCGCCGGCCGTGCGACTAGGGGTCAACAGCCGGCCGAAACGTCGTCTCGTCGTGGCGACCGACTCCAAGTCCCAGGCGGTGGCTTTGATGGGCCTGCGTCTCGAGGGAGCGCCTCCCAGTCTGGTCCTGCTTCTGCAGGTCGTGGTGCGGCTTCCACTGCTCCATCCGCTGCGTCTGGTGCTGGTAGTCCTAGTGTCCCGCAAGGAGGCTTTGAGCCTCAAACCCAACCTCCCAGCAGTCGCCGCAGTAGCCAGTCTGGTGGTCCACCACCCTCATCGCAAACTCAGGCGAACGCACCTCGAGGTGATCCAGCACGGGAGAGACCTGCGAGATATACGGACCAGATGCGTAATATCGATCTTCCACCGTCCTTCTACAACATCGATCAGTTGGTGAGCCATTTTCCTTGGTTTGTGCATTGCATCATCGTCGTCCTTGTTTCTTACACTGCACTGTCTCTGCTCCTTCAATTTGAGACATGTGTTCCCTTTCCCCTTGACTTCCAAAGACTCCCTCGTCTAGGTCTGCTGGGACATCTCGCTTCTTCCCTCTAGCGCTTCTTGTCCGTCACTCGCGCACACCGCCTGTCGACATCCATGCTCAATCTTCAACGCGGATACCTTCAGTGCCCCTTCAAAGCCTGCCCTGCTATTCTCCAGAATCACATCCCCATTGGTTCGGATAGTCACACCCCTCGTTATGCCAGCAGTTCCTGCACACGACATGGACCGCGCAGTTCTCATGTCCCAGACTATTTATACCCCTTCCTCCCTCGCTCTGCGTCTTTCACTTCCCACAGACCTATTCCCCAATTCCTTGCAAAATGCCAGCTTCCAGAGGGCCCGGATCTGGGTCCGGTTACAACTTGCCCCCCTGCTTCCCCATCTCGCCAACAAGGCGCATTTCCTGTCCATCCAGAATCTTTTCCGCCACCCGACTCCAGGGATCGTCCAGAAACCATCCTGCGTTATTATACTCGCAATGTCACTAATCCTGAGCAGTACAATCTTCCGACCCAGTACACCCAGCGTCCCGGATACAATCAGACTGGCAGACCGGTCAACGTCAACGTCAACGCGTTTCGAGTCATACAATATCCTTCTGTCAAGGTCTTCCAGTATGATGTTGTCATCGGCAGTGGAGTAGAGAAGCGAGGTCTCAACCGCAAGGTCTGGAACTCTCAAGTTCGCAAGACCGCCACAGGTCCACCCATCATCTACGATGGCGTTCGTCTTGCATGGTCCTTGATGGACTACAACGAGCTTCGCCTCATGGTCGACCTTGATCAGGAAGAAGGTCGTCCTCCTTCTCAAGATGGCAAGAATACTTTCCGTCTTCACATCAAGAGAACCCGAATGCTTGACATCAGCCTCATTCAGCAGTTCTTGGAAGGTCGTGTGCAGCTCGACGAGAAAGTCGCAGAAGCCATTACATTCATGGACCATCTTCTCCGGGAAACGCCGTCGTCCTCCCCGCAGTTTGTCTCCGTGAAGCGAAGCCTCTTTAGACGTCAAGGTCAGCGTGCTGATCTGGGCGGTGGCATCGAGGTTTGGCGTGGCGTCTATCAATCCATACGTCTTGCGGAAGGCAAGAAGTTGGTCGTCAACTTGGACGTCGCAAACACCTGTTTCTGGAGACCAACCTCTTTGACTTCAACCATCGTCACCAAATATCCAGAAGTCAGGGACATCAATGATGTTATCGAGAAAATGGAACCAGAGCAAACCAACGGTCATCGAACCAGCAGCTTCTTTCACAGAAATGTAGAGGCTGCCTTCAAGGGCGTTACGGTCAAGGCTGTGTACAAGGGCAACCCGTTCCCCAATAAAGAGTGGAAAATCCTTCGATTTGATGAAAACAATGCCAACGAAGAGATGATCGAATGGAAGGATCCAACCACTAAGAAACCTACCGGTGAGAGAGTCTCTGTATACCAGTACTTCAGACGCAAATACAATATCACCCTGCAATATCCTAGACTACGATTGGTTCAGATGACGAAGAAGGGTGTCAAGTATCCTCTGGAATTCCTCAACATTGTCGAAGGCCAGCGATACGGCGCAAAGCTGAGCGAGATCCAGACCGCCAACATGATCAGGTTCGCTGTCTCTCCTCCAAACGTCCGACTCCAAGCCATCAATGAGGGCAAAGGCTGGCTGAACTGGGACGGTGACCCATTTTTGGCAAACTACGGACTTCGCATCAGCCAGACGCCGATCAAGAGCACTGCGCGCATTCTCCCAGCGCCTGGGATCCAATTCGGCAACAAGCTTGACCAACCTGGTACGCGAGGCCGTTGGGACCTCAAGGGAAAGACTTTCTTCACCCGTAACCCTCAGGTACTTGAGTCTTGGGGAGTCGGCGTCTTCACCGGTCGTCTCAAGCCTGATCGAGCTGTGATTGACCAGTTTGTCCTTGATTTTGCCCGCGCTTATCGTGGCCATGGCGGCCAGGTCTCAAGCAAACCGCCTTTTGTCACCGTGCTGAATCAGGATGTCGGCGCTGCCGTTGCCGCATTACACCAATCAACAGGCAACCATCACCAACGTCGACCACAGCTCCTGATCTTCTTGGTCCAAGACCGAAATGCCTTCCACTACCTTCGAATTAAGAAGTCTTGCGACTGTCGCTTCGGTGTCGTCTCGCAAGTCATGCAGATTCAACAAGTCCTGAAGGGAAACCCTCAGTACTACTCCAATGTCTTGATGAAGGTCAACGCCAAACTAGGCGGTACAACATCTCAAGCGGTGCCCCACAAAGACAGCGGTTTCAAACGATTCTCTGTCCCGACGATGATCATCGGTGCTGACGTCTCGCATGCCTCACCGGGCAGTCAGCAGGCCTCGATGGCGGCAATAACCGTTTCATTCGATCGATTTGGTGGACGTTACGTGGCTGCTTGCCAAACCAACGGCCGTAAAACGGAAGTCATTTCAGAGGCCAACTGGCGTGATATCTTGAGACCCCTTGTGACCGAGTGGATGTCGCAGGTTGGCGGCGGCCGACCTCCTCAGCAGGTCTACTACATACGCGACGGAGTCTCTCAGGATCAGTTCGCCCATGTGCTCAACCGGGAAGTGCCCCATATCAGACAGGTGCTCGAGGCCTGCATCGATGGCAAGAAGTTCGAAGGCAAGCTTACGACCATCATCGCAAGCAAGCGCCACCACGTCCGTTGCTTCCCCGACAGAGAAGGTGCGGACAACAAAGGCAACCCTCTTCCGGGCACGCTGGTCGAGAGAGACGTTACTACACCCACTGAATTTGATTTCTATCTCTACTCACACATCGCATTGCAAGGAACTTCTCGTCCCGTGCACTACAGCGTCATCCTTGACGAGGCCAAACACCGCCCGGAGCAGATCCAAAACATGATTTACGAGCATTGCTACCAATACATGCGCTCGACGACTTCTGTGTCGCTTCATCCGGCGGTCTACTATGCTCATTTGGCCTCCAATCGTGCAAAGGCTCACGAGGATGTCCCTGCCACTGCCGGTCCCCAAGGCGGTGCTGGCTTCAAGCAGAAGGATCCAGACAAAAGCAAAAGCTCTGAGCCTTCCGAGTCCGAGATCAAACCGCTCATGCCTCTTTTCAACATCCAAGGCATCGTCTTCTCCATGTGGTACATCTAAGATCCTTCTCATGGCTACCATGGCAAGCATCCGCTGACCCCGACCGTGACCGACTTCAACGCCACTGTTGGGACGAGCAGGCCGGATCTACATGATGCAGCCACATGCCATTCTCTTGTCCGAGTACAATCCACCTGCCTATGCAGTCAAAGTCAAATCTTGCAAGTCGTGCTTGGGCGCTTTCAAAGCAGTTGAAGCCTCTGCTTCGGAACAAAAGGCGAAGCCCTAGTCTCAACGGGCCTTTTTCTGACTCAGCATTGGTTTTTTGGAGGAAAAAAATGGAAATTTACCAAAAAAAAAGTACAGTCGAACAGGCATTCTCGTCCATGCCTCATATGAGGGTGCGCTTGGGTCTGCCGGCGATTGTCAACCATTCTACAGCTTTGGACCTTGTCCATCAGCTGGCTGCGTGGTATCTCCTAGTCTAGCTTGCACAATCCAAATTCATTCAATGAACCTTTCTGTTCCATGCGCCCCAATGCCACTTGGACCGAGTTTTCCTTTCTGCTCTCCGTACTTCGAAAACCTAGAGGCACTCCGTCTCCTTGATTGTCTTGATTAACAATCCTTCCTGTTTGACTTCTCGCAGGCGCCAGGCAGGATGGCACTACTGCAGATCCTGCTATGGACATAATCATTGCGCCGACCTTGGACGGGCCATTGCCTCCCATCTTCCATCTCAGGGCGGCGAAAGGCCCTGGGCGCGCTGCCCTTCTACAACAGCGTGAGTTCAAACAATTCCAGAGTCGCTGATCTTGCGGGTAGGCTTCCCTTCCCTGTATTCTCTTCCAAGACTTAGCTGTGCGATGACCAACTCCAAGAGGAACACCTATATGCGGCCATCGAGTTTTTGAAGAAGGGGATAGAGCGTGGCAAATACATAGTGATACTTCAGTCTCTGGTTTAGGTCGACGCCAGGAGGTTTGCAGACATCACATACCACAGAGGACGAGGAAGGGGAAAGGAAAAGCAAATCATCATCTACCCATGGCAGTTTCTCATTCCCGGACTGAGCCAGCGAACGGAACATTTAGGAGCACCAGTGTGACGTGATGCTGACTGAGGCCTTGGACAGACGGACATGAAGGCTATAGAATTCTCTCGCAGTGCTCGGCAGAGCCTCAGATCTCCCGCTGCTCCATGTCCTCCTGCCTGACAACGACGCCTCAGCTGGTGTCTCGCGAGTGTCTGTGAAACAGTGAACAAGCAGAGGTGGGTTTTGGACGTGGTGAGTCGCTCTCGACACCAAATGAGTTGAACTTTATCACCCAGAGGGAGCAAGAGAAGGGAATGGGAGAAGGTAGCAAGCTTGCGGGAGCGCTCTGGATGGCAGACACAGAGATTTGAGGCTGACCGGGGGGTGAGGGGCGATACAAGATCCCTCCACGATCCGCGTGGATGGGATGGGATGGCTGCACGGCTTGTGGGCTTGCTGCCGGGCATGCTCCCTCATTCTGACGGTCTAGGACGAGTCGGTCCAGAAGCGCGAGGTCAGTGACCATTGTATACAAGTACACGCTTGTCGGCCAGGGAGATTCCATGATGGATCATCATGTCAGACATTCTCCGGTTGCCCTACATTCTTCTCCTCCCTGTCAAACGGCTGCCTCTTCTCCAGAAGCCGCTAGCCCCTGAATACTTCGTTGATGGGTCAAGGATTCTATTCCGGCACAATAACGAGGTCAAGTGACAAGAGCGGAGTATATAATTGTTCATGACAAAAAGAGCAGGCACTAGGTCTAGACCCACTTGGAGGTCGAGATGGAAAGGAGAGAAAGAATTCCTAAGAATCTATGGAAAAGGCCGCATGCATGGACAGCACGCAATTCCTTACCTGCGAGCTCGGAGATCTGTGTCTGTGTGTCGAAATCCGTGTCTCCTCTTTTTCCTCCTGGGCAAAGAACAGCTAATATCTTGATATGTTCGGAGTAGCAGCCTGGATGACATACAGAGATACATTCAAGTGCAAGGTACACACAAAGGTTTTGGCGGGAATGTACCGGAATATGTAAAGTGTCTAGCGACGATGCTTCTTGGTTCAAATTCGCACAGTTTCAGACACTTAGGGGGATAGTCCCCGTGTATCCTCATCGGCCCTTTGGCGCGGTACACAGTCTAAATCCAATGACCTCTTTCCCCCGCGCCGGAAGAATCGCAGCATTACCTTCCAAGCGAATAGTCCTCATTCAGAAGGTCGAGACACTACGGCCGGCCTCTCCAGCGACTATCCTCGTTCCCTGCTGCGATGTTATTCATGGATACTGTCGCCGGACCGCTAACGGTACATGGAGAAGTAGGTGCGAAAGAGACGGGTCGTGAGACCGAAGAGTACCCTTCTGAAGAAGCTGTGGTGGTTCTAGATGTTCTGCGACCAGAGACACCTCGAGCGAGGGGCCGCCTCGCCTGCGATTGAGCCGGCCGCACACTGCCTAGTCCAGCCGTCTGTCGGGAATAGCGATCTTGCAGGTCCCAACCGTGCGAGGCTTGCTAAGGTCGCAAGACGCGTCCGGGTGGGTTGGAGGATTCCTGAGAATAGCCATCGCCTGTGTTGGCAAGTTGCGTGATTGTCGACCTGCACCATGAACTGTTTAGCGGAGACTTTCAATCATTGAACTCGGGGGAAGTGGGCGCGGGTTGAGCGTCTTGAGGGAGCCATTGTCCTTGGATACCATCTGTTGGCTCGACTGCTCCATAAGAGCCTAGTTGTCGAGCATTTGTACCCCGGTCTTGCGAAAGTAGGGATGGTTGAGATGCCCAAGCCCTTGATTGGCCGCCATGATTCCTTCTTTGGCGGTGACGTCTTCTCTTCGACTGTGATCCTCGCTCAGAGCTGGCTGGCTTCTGAAGTGTGGGTATTCTCGCTTCAATTTCTTCTCTGGCCTGATGCACGGCTTCTCGCCGCTGCTCTTCCATATGTAACCTATTACACCGAGCTTCCTCGATAAGACGCAATCGGCCGGCTTCATTGAAATTTGGATCAACCAGGAAATCTTTGGGTGGTCTGTCAAGGTCGTCCGACTTGAGGCCTGATCTGGTGTCCTGTGTTGTTTTTCCGTCGATGAATTCCTCGGCGAATTTTTCCATTGTAGACCTTGTGTTGGAAGAATCGCAAGAATATGTCGAAGGGGTTTTGCTCTGACCACCTGGTTTTGGAACGCGGGATCGCCGACATGGCGCCATATCCCAACCAATATGGAAGCATTGACATGTCCGAAACTAACTGGGTAATTACGATGCTAATCCAGTAATCAAAGGTTCCCGGTGCCGACGTCCATTATTTCAACGATTTAGTTCTGTTTGTTGTAATCAAGAACCTGGACCTATTCTGATCCCATCCGGTCGTGTAAACAATCTTTGCTCGAGTGACAAATCTCATCAATGAGCCACCAAGGTCGTAGATAGTGTACCAAAAATCTTCTGAATGAGCAAAACTTGGAGAAAACTGGCGGTACTGGATAATCATGACAATTGTTTGTTGCCCTGCCGGAGGGCTGAAACATCCCCCCAAATTGTCCAGGCGGCAGATCGACAGCAGAGAGAGGTTTTGGTCTGACAATATCGGTGCACAGCTTCTTGCCTCAGTCCCAGGCCTCACCCCAGTCCTCATCATTGATGTCGGGTGCTTTAGGCTTTGGCGTGTCTTTCTGGATTTCTTTCTTGGCTGCTATGGGTACTGTAGTCCTCGTGCTTGTAATGACAGGTCTCTTCCCACTAACCCCAGCCGTTCCAACACCCGCCGACACACTTCTCCCTGGGCCGGCAGGACGGATGTTCAAAGCTGACGCTGTGGTGGTCGTCTTACTCAAGCCCTTTGGTAGTGGTTTCTGCGATTTTGATTTTGACTGCGCAGCTAGCCACCCAGCAAAGTCTGGCTCGCCGCCGTCATCGAAGGAGGCAGCAGCAGCAGGTTCAGGTGTGGTTGTGTTTGTGCGTTGCGTGGAAGATGCGTCAAAGAAGTTGTCTCCATCATCATCCATTGTACCCCAAGCATCCATCGTATCCTCTTCCTCCCAAGCCTCCTCAGGTTCAATAGCTTGTGTGGAGGGTTTCGCTGGTTGTGAGGCATGCGGTCTTAATGAGGCAGTTGTCGATTTTTCAGGCGAAACATTGATGAGCGGTATAGTATGTCCGGAGGCAGGCATTGACTGTGTTTGTGCCAGTGGTGCCCCGTTTGCGGTCGCTGTCGGAGCCATCTCGCCTCGGGCTCCGGCCATTTTGTTTGTGAACGAGGAAATTGCCCAGCCAGCCCAACTAGTATCGCTTTGATTTCCCATCCTCGCGGGGGTGGTGGAATTAGCTGCTCCTGGGCCGGGCTCTGGTGGAAGGGCTGTTTCAGGTAGTGTTGATGCATATTTGCGGACTCTAACCAAGTAAGATTCGACTGCTTTGGTGGCTTGATCACGGACTATCTTTTCTTTGTCGACCAAGCTGACACAAATGACAGGCAAGATTTTTGTCGCACAATCATCATCGCTAAAAACATCAATGGTTGCGTTGAGCGCCATCAACGCTGCACTTCGGGCATGTACAAAAGGATCTCTCAGAGAACGGCCGAATGCTGCAATCAGCACTTTTGACCGCGAACCGACGCCTAGGTTTCTTGCAATTTTCCCAAGGCATATCGTAGTATTGGTACGAATTCCAGGCTGCTCGTCATTTGCCGTTTTGGCAAGGAATCGAAGAAGCTCCCCGTTGATGACTCTGTCCGACAACTTGGGGATCACGGAGAGGACGGCCTTTACCGTTTGTTCCCTGACGACCGGGGCTGTGTCTGTGAAGCCAGTTGTCATGGCAGGCCAAATTTTGCCGTTCACATCCTTTTGTGGTATTCGATCGATCATTAGTGGTAGATTATCCAATAGGCAAACTCTCATAGCCCGGTCGGGACTATTGAAGAGACGGATAATGAGTGGTCCAAGGCGTGACTCGAATTCATCGTCAGACATTTTCAACCCGATTTTCATGATGGCCCCAAAGACACTGGGTCCTCCACCACCAAATTCAACGGATTTCAGCAGCTCGGGCAAGATTTTCATCTTGAAGAAATCTTCGGGGAAGTCGTCTGTGAGGCTGTCGAGTTCTCTGAAGTTGAGTGAGCAATATGTCTTTTCGGGACCAGAGAAAGCCCTTACTTCAGAAACTCATTTCGTTCCTCCTCGTTCTTCAGCCCTAGACTTTCCGCTCCTTCGGTGATATGGATAAGGGGGGTCTCAAAAAATCCTCCAACTTTCTTTCCCTGCTCGACGAATTGACCAGCATTCAACCTCAGTTTTGGGTTTGCGTTGACTAGACGCCGATAGCTCTGGACCATGTTGGCCGGTATGCTCTTTGTCTGTCCCAGGCTGTCGGTGCTCATGAGGACCCCATTGAATGCTTCATGCACGAGAGTGCCGAGTCCGTAGGCGTCTGGCGCTCCCAACGGATTCTTTTTGATGGCGGACCAGCCGCCGTTGGCCACTTCGGGCGGAGAATAGCGGTTCGACTCTGGCAACAAACTCCCATACCTATATATAATCGCGTCGTCGTCGTTCATAGAACTCAGCGCTTCAAACCCTCCCAACTTCCATTCCCCACTCTCGCTTATGAAGATCGAGGATACGCGCACTGCGCCATGCACCGAAGAGGCGTCGTTGTTGATAAACTTGAGGGTGGAAGAAACGCTGTATAGTCCCCATTTTATGGTCTCCTCGCTCAAGCTCTTGCGTTTGATATGCCAACTCAAAGGGGTAATCTTCTCCGTGATCATGTAGATGTTCGTCTCATTTTCGATCACATCGATCACTCGTATCACGCCGGGGTGCCGTATTGTTCGCAGTTTCCGGGCGGCGTTTTTGGCTAAGGGCAAGAGTGCTTTGTTGGCGTTGATGTCGAAGTTGAAGAGACAGCACGGCGAGTTGTCGTCCTGGTCCAAGATGAATCAGCATAGTACCACCGACACTCACTGAACCTCCAGCTTACCTTCTTGGTCGCATTGTGCAGGATCCAAATGGAGTCTCCGGAGTCAATACGATCTCCGATGGTGACTGGGAAAGAGCTGGATTTGGCGATTGCAGAAGCAACTGCGGATTTGAGAAAGTCCATCGACTTTCGCGTGGCCGGAGCGAGGAGCGAGGAGCGGGGAGCCGTCAAGATCAACACTCAAAGCTCTTTGCAGGAATGTGGGTTTGGTGAGAGCGCCGTGCAAGGATGAGGCGACAGTGGCATTCACCTCTGGAAACTTGTCCCCAGCAGCAGAAGCAGCGGGCCATTTCACGCCGCAAAGCGACGGAGACGAAACACGCCGCAGGAGAAATTTCCCCGCGCTCGCTCCATCATCCCACTTAATATTGGAGGACAGCAAGACCGTCTTGAGGTCAACCAGTTCACATCTATACGATCTCGTCCTGTTGTCCGTCTCAGATTGTGTTCTAATGGCGGACCACCCGTCTACGCGCAGGACTTTCTCTTCTACCAACATGCCAAAGGGAATGGAATACCGCCCGCACGAGGGCAAGTTTGGTATCGTGACTGGCGGCTCAAGAGGTCCGAGACACGCTTCGCAAGCTAGATGTCGACCTAGCAGCTCTTCTGACTGATGACAGGAATCGGAGCAGCCATAGCTCGAAACCTGGCAGCCAAAGGATGCTCCCTCCTACTCGTCTACACCTCCGACTCCTCCACCGAGCCCACGCAGGCCCTCTGCAAAGAACTCTCTGAAGCCCATGATATCCTCTGCTTCCTCGTGCAAGCCGACCTTTCAGAACCAACCCGCAGTGTCCCCCACATCCTGGCCACTGCAAAGAATCACTTCTCGCATCCTCGGACCGGCACGTTCCAAGTCGACATCATCATAAACAACGCGGGTATTGCCGGGAACAAACTGCTGAATGACCCAGACATGGGGCCGATTGAAGAAACGCAATTTCGGAAACAATACAATGTCAACGTCCTCGCACCATTGTTGCTCGTCCAAGCATGCCAACCCTACCTCCCAAAAGATCGGTCCGGTCGCATTGTCAATTTGTCGAGCGTGTCTGCATCAATCGGTTGCGAGTCACAGTCCATATACGCTGGGACAAAGGCAGCGTTAGAAGCCATGACTCGGGTCTGGGCCAGAGAGCTGGCGGAGAATTGCACGGTCAACGCTATCAATCCGGGACCGGTGTGGGGGGACATGTACAGCCATGCAGGAGAAAAGTTCTGGAAAACAAACCAGAAATACGTGGACAGTGCACCGCTGATGGATTACAAAGGCGACGACGACGCGATCAGGGCTCGCGCGGGCGGTGATCCTGAGGAATATGATCGCATCGTGTTGAAGGGCATGGGTGGGAAGAGGCCAGCTTTCACCGACGAGATTGCGGGCGTCGTGGGTATGCTCTGCTCTGAAGAGAGTGGATGGACGACAGGGAGCGTGATATGTGCCAATGGGGGTATGAAAATGTCAATAGCATAAGACGCAACTAGGGGCTCTTGAGTTAGAATCGGTGTTTCTGCAGAGTCGAGGCTGACGGAATCTCCAAAACAGTCGGCACGAGGCTGAAAATGACACCGAAAATCGGCGTCATTTGAAACTGCCCGCAATTTCCATCACTGCTGGATTCACCATCGTTCTTCTGCCACAGACCACTCTACCACTTTATAGCATACCTCGTCTCCGATTCAAGCTTGCCGACATGGTCGACATCGTCCCCGTCTCCTCGTATCCATCTCACATCTCCCTTCTCCCGTCCATCCAACAGTGCAACCTGACCAACCTCCCGGAAAATTACTTTCTAAAATACTACCTCTACCACGCCCTGAGCTGGCCACAGCTCTCCTTTGTCGCCGTCGTCCGCGGTCCTGGCTCAAAACCGCCTCGCTACCCAAAAGTCGTGGGCTATGTGCTCGCGAAGATGGAAGAAGATCCTCCGGACGGAGTCCAGCACGGGCACATCACGAGTTTGTCCGTCATGCGGACACATCGTCGGCTGGGCATTGCCGAGAAACTGATGAGGATGAGTCAGAGGGCGATGGCAGAGGTGTTCAATGCGAACTATGTCAGCTTGCACGTGCGAATGTCGAACACCGCGGCCTTGCATTTGTACCGCGACACGCTCGGCTTCGAGGTCGAAAAGGTGGAAAGCAAGTACTACGCCGACGGAGAGGATGCCTTTGCCATGAAGATGGATCTCAAGAGCCTGCAGATCAAGAGCCTGCCGGAGGTGGATGAGGACGAGGGAGAGGGCGTGGGTTCGCTGGGCAAGAAAGGCGAAGACGGTGAGACGGTCAATGGTGAAAATGGGAAGAAGGAGAAGATGGTCAAAGTCAAGGTTGGACGCGGGCTGGGAGTGGGAGATTTGGTGGAAAGGAACGAAGGCTCGACGAACGCACAGTATTGATCGAAGCGTCAACCCGAGTCCAGGGTTCATGGTCGCACTCTATCATCTTCAGAGATCAAATTCGACGTGCAGCACCGTCTTTGGCGGGCAAAATCTCGGGCTTCATGAACAGTCCGCCTCCTGCTACGGCCGTTGAATAAGACAGCGATATATGCAAGGAACAGGCAGCTTGCGCATTGCCGAACCCAAAAGTCAGTCAAGATTCCAAGGGAAAATGTTAAACAAACCTGAAAATGGTCTCGTCAATCTTTCAAGCCAGTCAGTTGCACATGAGGATACGGATGTCCTCCAAGCTATGTACAGGACCCCCGATTGCAGGGACGCGGAAGCGATACCACCTTGACCACATCAGATCATTCGCGGTAACATACAGGCTGAACGAAATGTTGACACATCGATCTCAGTCCTTCATCGACGCCCCAGGCGGCTCGACTACCTGGGCGCCTTTTGCGGCAGCCTGATAACTAGGCAAGTTCTTTCCAGCGTTGTGGCTTCTCCGAATGCTGCTCATACTTCCTTCTTGCAAGCGTCGCAGATTCCTCACATTCGCTTCTAGTCTCACTCTCACCATCCGTATCATGGGGCGATGCAGATTCCTTCCCGTCGTCACTATTTGCGACTCTTCTGGGACCTTTCTCCATCCCCTTCTGCTCTTCAACTATCTTCTCCTGCTCGTTCATTACCTGAAGACTCCGCATTGTCTGCGTCATTCCACTGATCAACAATCCAACCGGACATATGGCGGATCGATGATGGCCCCGTCGTCCGCCGTGGCAGTCTGCGCAGCCATAGCTGCAGCTACGCCGGCGCGATACACCATTCCCATATGCACCATTGCAGTCATCGTTATTGCTTTTGCGGGGGTGGCCGTTGGCGGCAGAACCATATTCCGGCCCGGCCACCATCGGTCGAGGTAGGGTTTGCGTGGTAGTTGAGACGACAGTGGTATAGTTGTTGGAGCGCTTGGTGCGACACATACGCACACGTCTCCAAACCAAACTCTTCCTCGTGTTGCTGAAGTCAAAAAGTCTCTCTCTCTTGCTGTTTCTCCTCTCGGATGAGCTGAATTCGAGTTGCCGTTTGCTCTGTCCGAAAATGCGGATGTTAGGTTGTTCCTTTGTTTGAAGGGTGTGTTGAAAATTTTTTGCACAGTATTTGCTTTCCTAACTTGATATAGTCAGAGGGAAGACAGGGCGAGTGATTTATACTTCACCCTTGACCCCTCAGGCAGGGTCAAGTATTTCAAGCCGCGCGTAGGACTTGTGACCGAGTTAAATGAATGACATGCTGCAGGGGGGATATTTGATCCGCCCGGATGCGGTTTGAAACCAGAGCCCGCCATGATCGGTATCGTGGAGACTGCATGTCGATCCCTGCTTGAGCTGAGATCGCGGGAGGACCCGTCTGCCAGTAGCAGCCACTTTCACAAGTGGCGCTCATCCCAGAAGCGAGCGGCATTCGTCTCTCGGCCTTGAGATAATACCTACGATGCCCACCGCCAAATGTAGCAAGCGTTGTCCTCGGCAGGCAAGAATATTTTCAAATACCGGTAATTTTCCAAAAAGACAAGCTCTTCGTCGAACTTAGAAAGAGGGCGGGTGGTCAGCAGCAGTTTCGATTTTCGTAGAAGAACCACACGGCCGAAAGACTAGGTGGCTTTCTGCTGATTCGGCCGTTAGCTGTTGAGTCCGTGCACCCTGTAGGGCGGTGAGGATGGATGGCCCTACCAGCAACTTACCATGTGTTAACTTCCCCTGGCGACATTCGCTCTCGGACAGAGACATCTCCCTCCCACCTTCGCTTCGACAAGTCCACCCTCTCCCTCGTGCACCAGCATCGTCCTCTTGTCTGGGTGCTGTTGACGGTAAAACCTTCAGCGTTGGCCACCAATGGGACTCTTAGAAGGCTTATTTCGGAGCGCGCCCAGTGTGAGGAAGCAAACGAGGCGGGAAGATGACTCAGACTCTGCTGGGGGCCCCATGACGAGGTTGTTGTAGCGGTGCGAGTGCGCGGATGAATGAAAAGGCCAGAAGGCGAAGTCATGATCATGTGCAAGGAACAACGATAATCCGAACTCACCGAACAGGCCGTTGCGCGAGATGAAGCAGTCCGCAAGTGCGTCAATACTGTCACCGCCGTCTGACTAGACGCAACAGGGAGCAAATCGGATTTGCCTGTCTAGTCGATATCCTGCACTTCCCCGTGGGTGTCTATCGGAACCGGCTTGTGCATATTCTGGGGCGATGGGACCCCCAGACTGACCGCAGAAGTACGCATCCAGGAGGCAGATGTGCAGATGTCGTCCGAAGGTTCGGACAGATGAAAGCCGACGAAGCGAGCTGTGACCAAGCCCTTGTCTGCTGGGGATGTCTTGAGGCGTTCCCTCAGCTGAGCTTCACAGAGGGATAAAATGATGGTTGTGTCTCTGCAATCCACCACGCTCACAAAATCAGAACCTTGTTGACGTCGAAAGGAAAGCCAGACTCGCTATAGTTCTCGTCGTCGATATGCTGGAAATTTGCCTTGAGCATCCTCGATTAGCGGCGCTGGTCGCTCTAATCGTAGGTTTTACCATGATGGACCTCCGACGAAAAGATCTAACCTCCAAAGTAGACGGGCTACATTCTCTATTCAACCTTTTTCGACCCCCTTCGCAACATCCCCGGCCCGTTCCTCGCGCGGCATCTTCCAGGATGGCTTGCCTACCAAGCATTCACCTGCAATACTGAGACGGCCATTCTCGAAGTCCACGCAAAATATGGAGATGTCGTCCGCGTGGGACCCAATACTGTCCTTGCCGGAAGTGCTGAAGCTGTCCAAAAAGTCCTTGGATATGGTGAACACTACCTCGACAAAGGCTCAGATTACTATGCCTTGGTTTTCCATACGCCTTCGATCTTCAGCGAAGTGGACAAGTCGATTCATTCCCGAAAGCGTCGGATTGCCGCTCATGCCTACAGTATGCAGAGCTTGATGAGGATGGAAGACCTCGTCCTCGAGAATGTTGCCATATTCCTCCGCCAAATGGATCAGTTTGCCAAAAGTGGAGAGGCGATGGACGCAGCAGAGTGGTTCAAGTTTTATGCTTTCGATGTTATTGGAGACCTGGCTTTTGGAAAGAGCTTTGGCCTGCTCAACCGAGGAGTGACAGATGAATTTGTCACACATATCTCCAGTGGAGTCGAGTACACTTTCGTTGTATGGCTGACATGCCCCTCGACATCTCATCAGAGATTGCTGACTGTTTGCGCAGCTGTTTCTTTTGCCATCTCTTCTGCGGCCGCTGAGCCGATTTCTGGTCAAATGGCTTCCAATCCCCCTTTTCCGCGAGCTGAACCACGGTTTCGCCTACGTGAAAAAGGTCTGTGGCCCTGCGTGCTGATATCATGCGGCGATGGAGATTGCTAATTGGTTGATCGAAGGAAACCACGCAACTCGTACAGGACCGCTGGGAAAAGAGAGATGATGCTTCACCACAACGGGGTGACATTCTCGGTGCTCTCATTGAAGCGACCAACCCTGTCACGAAAGAGCGACTGGGATTCGGAGATCTGGCCACCAATGCATCGACCAATATGTAGGGGATGATCCGAACTGGGAAATGAACTTCTCCTGACATATTAATAGTGTTGCTGGCTCAGATACCATTACCATCTCGCTCACAGGAATCCTTTATCGCCTGCTCCGGAACCCAGATAAGGCGGCCAAATTGGTAGCGGAGGTCCGCCGACCCTCACTGGGCGATTCACCCTCGTTCAAGGATATTCAGAAATTGCCATACCTCGACGGTTGCATAAAAGAAGGTATGCGCCTCACCACACCCTTCGCTGGTCCTCTCCCACGGATCTCTCCCAGAAAGGGTTTCGAAGTCGCGAAGCATTATATTCCTCCAGGTACCGTTGTCAACGTTATGCAATGCCAAATACATATGGATGAGCGAATCTTCCCCCAACCCCAGACGTTCCGGCCTGAACGGTGGTTTGAAGACTCTGGTGGAAGGGACCTAGACAAGTATTTTCTGGGCGTGAGTAGCCACCATCAAACCGGAATTACTCTCGGAGCCGTCTTTGAATTGCTTTGTGCTGATTTTCTTTCTGGAATAGTTTAGCACGGGTCCACGATCGTGCATTGGCAAAAACATTGCAATTCTCGAAATGAAGCTGTTGTTGTATTCTCTGTTCAGACGCTACGATTTGTCCTTGTCTCCCACGACCTCGAATCTTCGATGCCTCCGTCTCCTGGTCACGAAACCATTGAGTCCCGTGTTGGTTAATATAAGGCCCGCTGCGCCTGTCGAGTGAGCAATCTCGTCCTTGAATCAGAAAGATATCGCGACACTCGCCGCTTGGTGTCTTCCATACTCACCATCACCCTGTTGTGGAGGAGGGACTTGGACCAATCTCGACTTCCAGGGGATTTATCATTCGCGATACAACGTTTTGAAACATCAATTGAAACTGCATGGAGGTGTGATTCTCGGCCAGTCAAAGAAATCGAAAGGAGCCTCCAAGCTGTTTTCGTTTGGGGGTTCGTCAAGTGCAGTCCGAGAATTACTAGCCGAGGCGCATACTAGTTTGCATGGTTGTGGGGATCCCCTTTTACTGCAGCCTCGTCGACAAGGCTCGACGAGAGGCACAGATGGGACTATGGAGGCACAAGTAGGACTGCACACCACATGCCCAAAGCTATTCTTGACACTCGCTCACCCTCCAGCATCATTTCTACCATCTACCTGTCTTGGTCTCGCCTCATCATGCTGTCCGCTTCCGTGAGTCTGTCAGAGCACTAGACCCGATGGAAACCATATTCCATTCAACCTACAGACCGAGGTCAACCTGAGGATGCAATCTCCCTCCCTCCGTTGCTCCGTACTATCGCTCTAACACGGAATCCAGGCATATCACGCCAGCGACAGGCCACATTGTATGCCCCTTTCTTGCTCTTTCTCCAATTCTAGCCTCAGAGCCTCGGGAATTCGACCAACTTCCCCACTTTTTACCCCACAACCTCGAGGCCCGTCAACATTGTCACCACCTGCAACAAACACGTCGAATAGAAACGACATGCCTCTCAGAAACCCGAGAAAACAAACTCTACTCTAGTCCACCTCCTGGGAATCGTTTTTCGAGTCGGTGAGAACTCAGTTGGAGTCTTGCACTCAGTCCAGGACATGGTTCACCGAACCTCGGTCTGGAACGGATAACACGGGTATCTACCTCAATCAAAGGCGAGATACTTAGATCGCAAAGCACTTTTCAAAGGGCCGGTCGTGCTGAAGGATATACATACTTTTCCCTTTCCGCTCCTTCTCGTCTTTCATCTTTTGTTTCGCATTGAGAATCTTACTCTCCCATTTTCGACGAAGAGGAAGCAACTATGCCCGCCCTACAGCGGGATATGGGTGACACCCACGTCACAGCCACCGCCAATGGGCATGTCAACGGACACGCTACCAACGGGACGCTGAGCTCTTCCGAGGCCACTAATGGGGTCTACAAAGACGAAGACGATCTGGACGTAGTCGTCGTCGGGGCCGGGTTTGCGGGCTGCTATCTGCTCTACAAGTTGCGAAAGGCCGGGTTTAAGACTAAGATGGTCGAGGCTGGCTCCGATTTAGGGGGTGTATGGTATTGGAACTCGTATCCGGGGGCACGGGTGGACAGCCAAGTGCGTTGAGACAGACACCACCAGATTTCACCATCCAGACTGACCACAATCCTGAAACAGTACCCGATCTACGCCTACTCGTTGCCAGAGGTGTATGAAGATTGGACCTGGACATCGCATTACCCAGACCACGTCGAGCTGAGGCAATACTTCGCCCATGTCGACAAGAAGCTGCACATCAAGAAGGACACGGTCTTCAACGCCAAAGTCGTGTCGGCCGAGTTCGACGAGGCGACCAACAAGTGGACTTTGACGTGCGACACGGGCCAGAAGTTCCGCGCGACGCACTTCGTCGCCTCGCTCGGGTTTGCCGCGAAGCGGTATTTCCCGGACTGGGAAGGGCTGGAGTCGTTCGAGGGTGTGATCCACCACAGCTCGTTCTGGCCCCACGAAGGTGTCGACGTGCGCGGCAAGCGGTGCGCCGTCATCGGCACGGGAGCGACGGGCGTGCAGATCACGCAGGAGTGGGCTCGCGAGATTGGCGACGACGGGGATCTCAAGATGTTCCAGCGCACGCCCAACCTGGCCTGCCCCATGCGGCAGGTCTACCTCACCCCCGAGCAGCAGGAGGAGGATAAGAAGAACTACCCCGAGCTGTTCAACGAGCGGTGGAACAACTATAACGGCTTTCTGTACCAGTACCGCGCCGAGATGATGTTCGACTACACGCCCGAG